ATCTTTACACTCAACTCAGACACAGTCAACCTTGATATTGCTCCGTGATCTCTCAATTCTCATAGCTTATTGCTTCCACTAACAAGAAATCCTGCATTCTCTTTATGTATTGAACTTTCATGGTTAAGTTTGCAAAATTGATCCATTATCATAGTTCCTGAATAACTAGGTTTTAAAAGTCTCTCAAAGTTTTTTGATTTTTTTTTCCCCTGGTATTTAAATAGGTTATTCCTCTTATCAAGAACTAGGGATTCCCAAAAAACAGATATCATCATGTAGACTGCATTGCCAGAAACACACAGGCCACACGTGAATATGTTCTCGGTCAACATACACATTCACTCAAGGGGCAAACCAATAAAGAGCCACACATACATACATATATGTGCAAATGTACAACTGACAGCAAACTACTTTAAATCCTAATGTCCTGAATATTCAAAATGAGCTGAGACAGCTCTGTGACATTTAGTATAAATGCTCCAGACTGTGATTCTCATGATGAAGCAGCCTCAAATCACATCTCGTGAGTTTCGTATTGCACAGCAGAGCACCATGCTGAATATCATGCCAAAGATCTGAAACAGAAAGAACCACTAGTTAGCAACTTTCAGGTGTCTTATTTGATAAAAAGCTTAGTAAACTGTGGAGGTGTCTAGCTCAAGTTAATAAATAATGATAACCAAGAGCACTGATTATAAATAGCATTTTCCCATGACCCTTAAGGATGCCTGTCAGGTAAGACTTGTATGTTAACCTTGCTTAAAGTGTATTAGTGTGCTATTATCGCTAAAAATGGTGAGTCTGTTTTAAGAAAGGGCTCTGTTTTTGGCTTGTAGAATAGTTCTTAGCAGTTATGAAAGATTGATACATTTCTGGTTTTAGAATTTTATATTTTATATTAATCTCAAACCTATCTTACTGATTCACAAAATTGTGTTCATAACAATTTCTTTTTATGTAAAGGTGCTTATGGTCTAAATTTCCTATTGTCAGAAAAGGACTTAATTTGTACAGCAGTGGCCACACATTAAACAGTGGAGGTTTTCTTCATTCTCAGTCCATTACTACGCAAATGATACATGACTGTTTAACTCAACAGTTTTACCAAAATCGAAGTAACTGAACTGAATATTCCCAACTTCTTCTACCTTTTGGACAGTTTTCTGAGAAGTCAAATACTTGAATGAAATCACTCTTCACTTCCATAGTTTGAAGAGAAGAATACCAGAAGATCTCAGTTGCTGCCCTGATAAGTCCATGACAGTCAGCCAGTGGAGCCCTGTCTGTGGGCACCTCTGCTATAAATGACTCTTTATGTTTGTAAAAATTGGTACCATGACTCTGATTCTCTCCTCAGTTTCATCATAAGCCAGTCTAGGATCTGTAAATGCTGCACGCATCAAGAATGATCAGTTGTTCCAGGAGGACAGGACAGATAGAAAGAAGTAGGGGCTTAACCAGGAATGGTTTCAAGTTTGTGACTGACAGAACTTGGCACCAGTGTGTGGCAGGAGAGACACCTAATGGGCATTCAGTTAAGTGATTATATTGTATAATACTTACCTTATTAAAAGGGAAAAGAACTAAAGAAGAAAATCTTGGGTACTGATTCAAGACAGCCAAATCAGGGCATTTATTTCCCCTTTACCATGGTATTGCAGGTTTGATGTGATCCTTACCTCATGCTGGGTGTAGTCTGAAGGGGCACCCTCTGAAAGATACTCCTTTACTGTCAGCCTGTTGCTGTCAGGAGTCAGGGCTGACTGCTTTCAGACTGTACAATTGTTGAGACTGCTTAATTGTTAGGACAATCTATCGGATATCTCTAGTATGAGGACAGTTTTTCAGACTGTTTCAGGACTGTCAGTGGGGAGCTACAGAGTCACAACCAGGTTAGAGCTGCAGCAGGTAGGGAGGGCCTGAGAGAGGTCCTTGGATTTGGAAGTCCTCAATGTAGTATTTCTAGCCACTGCCCCATCCTGAGCTTCAAACACAGAAAAAGAGAAAAGTGCTTGGGTGTCCCCTAAGAACCACTGATTTGTGGATTTCTTCAGCACCCTCACAGCCCTGTTTTCATGGTGGTCACTAGTTAATCTACAGAGAGACCAGAGTATAAGTTCTAATTTAGCATTAGCTATCCTTGCCCCACTTCTGGAAAATGGGGACCACATCTTCGTTGGCTTCTGACTTCAGTTTTGTCTCTCTCTGACATCCATCAACGTCATCTCTCCTCATCCATTCTGCACCACAGGTCCTTCTAGCCTTGAAGGCTCCTTTCTCCTTAAGGATGAGGCCTCTTAAAACCTTCAATTACATGGGCTTGTCAGCCCCTCCAGTTCTACCCTTGCCATTTCTGCCATACCCATATACGGCTACCAAGTCTTCCCATATCAATTTCTTTTCTAAGACAGGGACTCAAATAGCCTAGGCTGGCCTCAAAGTTGTTATGTTGTACCTTGAACTTCTGACCCTCCTGCCTCTATCTCCCAAGAGCTGGGACCTCAGATGTATGTAATTAGGTCCAGTGTATGTGGTCCTGAGAACCGAACCCAGGGTTTTGAGCATGGTAGGTAAGCACTCTAACAACTGAGCTCCATGTTCAGCCCCTTTCCTACACACTCTTCTTTTATACTTTTAAAGGACTGAGCCACTTATCGATGCTGGACACAGAATGCTTCACTCTGTTTCATATGACATTCTCTGCCTAGATTCTGAGTTTGTCCAGAACCAAATTATATAGAAAACTGATATTCACCGAATGCTAAACATTCCAGAGATTTTTATATAAATTAATTGGTAATAATAGGTTATACATAGCATTCCATTTGATCTTCATAATAGTCTTGGAGGGTGGTATGCTAAAAATTCACATTCCACAAAGGAAGAAATTGAAGCCTAGAGAAATCAAGGAACTTCCCTTCAATCACAGGGTTTGTAAGTAATGGAGCCAGGAGCTGAACCTAGTTCATGTGATGCCAGAGCTTTCCCTATGTTGCTTCTTTAAAGCACAGATGTTGAGAGTAACCTTAACCTTAATCACTTACCTAGGTTATGATTTGTGGGCTTAAAACTGGAATTGGAAGTTATTGCAATAAAATCAAAGTCATAATTAGTTTAATAATGAAACCTGTATAATATTTTATAGGACTACCATTGATGTATTTAATTAGCTTTATTTCAGAAGATGTACCATGAACCAGTGTCTTTACCCTTTATGAAAATTCATCTCGGGGCTGGAGAGATGGCTTAGCAATTAAGAATACTGGCTGCTCTTGCAGAGGACCTGGGTTTAATTCCCAGCACCACATGGTGGCTAACAAGCCCAGTTCCAGGGGATCCGACACCCACTTCTAGCTTCTGCAGGCACACATGTGGGCAAAACACTCACACTTTTAAAAAAATACTGCCATCTCTGACTTGAAGAGAAATAAATTGCCACTTAGAGGGCATAAAAGGTTAAGCTCTAGAACTTCTTACCGTGAGACCTGCAATTCCAATACCGACAATTCCGATGAGCTGAAGCTTAACACTAATTAAGGTTTCAATTTTGTCGATGCAATTCTGTTTGGAATAGAAAAAGCCAGCAATAAAAACAGATTGTGTGAATCATCCCTTCCCTTTTCGAGGATGGCTCTGTGAGTTAGTCCATGTCAGCTTCTGCTCATATGTAAACCATTTCTCTTGGGTGACATCATCCTGACAATGGTAAAGCAAAAATGTAGTTTTGGGGAAAACACAGTCCTCTGCTTTTGGTGAGATTTTCCTATTTGGGGCCAGTGGTCTGCTTCAGAGCCCGGTGATCTGGCTCCATGAAGCTGCTCTACGGGATCTAAGGCATTTGTGGCCTCTTCTTACTTTCACACAGAAAGACAAAGTATTTTTTCAAATAACCCCCTATTTTCATTTTGTCATTTACACTTTAAAATACATTCTATACACTTGGTCTAATTTACTATGCAAGGCAGGCATTACCTATTAAGAAACTAAAAAAGTCTATACAGCTTCAAATTAAACAAAAGAAAGCCGCAACTTAGGATAGCCATGTCTGGAGAGTTGGAAGACCACCGTCTCCTGTGGGCTGGGCTGGGGGTCCCTATCTGTGCCTCCTAAGAGACCTGTTGTACTGGTTAGTTTTTGTCAACTTGACACAACCTAGAGTCACGTGGGAAGAGGGAACCTCAGCTGAAGAATTGCCTGATCATATTGGCCTATGGTAAAATTGTGCAAGGGGCAGAGTAGATCATCTGTGACTGCTACTAGTTTTCCCAGCATTGAAAGCTTCTGTTTGGAGTTTTCCTGAGTAGAGACATACTTTTGACTCAACTGCATCCTTAGTCTGCTCAAATCTCCATTTCCCCCTGATACTCCATGTAAGTTACATGAAACCCTGACCACTCTCACGTCTCATTTTATAGGTATTGATTCACCAAACATTTCTTCAGCAACCACCTTGTGTCAGCCACTGGAATGGGTTGGGGGATGTTGAACAATCAGGCAAAGTTTCTTCTGCTCTTAGGAAGTTCAGTAAAGAGGATGCAGACTTACAGAAGAATTACAGTGCATTCTGGTACAAGCCAGGAACGCCCCTGTAGACAGCAGCTCCCTGACATACTGGCCAGAACAGGAGTCAACCTGCAGCACTTCCAGCATACCTTCCTTCACCTGGACTCCAAGGTGCTTGCTCCCTTTCTCAGTGCCAGGCACTGTCGAGGGAAGTGAGCCACAAAGGAACAACTATCCCCATGACTTCCCTTCCTTTCTTCAGAGCCCAAGAGGCATCCTCAGAGGAAATGTAGTCTGTGCTCTTTCTGGTCTCACCTCCGCTTGTCTCTGCAGGAAGCCTGCCAGTTGTCCTCTTTCCTTCCTATGCCTTCACCCTCTCTTTCTCCACTGACATTTCCACTCACTAAGTGACATGTTCAACATTTTCAGTCTAGAACAAACAACAATGCTCACACTGCTGTCTTCCTCTAGCCAGTCATCGCTCTTTCCATTCCGAGCTTCTTTTTGTGAAAAACAAACTACAAAACATGTATTGACTTTCCTTAGTCATAAAAGACTACATGGTTATTAAAATGTGGAAAAACAGATGTTAATAAAAAGAAAATAAGAAACATCTGTTCTCCTGCTAAAATAATTACCATTGTTGATGATTCTTACACATAAAACCATATCCATGCCCTCAGTTCATCTGTGTGCTCTAGAAACTTAGCATCAAGAAACTGGAAAAATACCTTATTTCACTAATATTTTTTGAAATTGTAATTCCTAGTGACTATAAACATACCATTATATGAAGGCATCATAGTATATTTAAACAATCCTCTACTGTCACATACTAAAGCAACATCTGGTTCTTATAAATAACACTGCAGTGAATACCACTGCATAATTTCCGTTTTTTCTCTTTTTGTGTGTGTATATGTATGTTTGCAGGCCAGAGGTCAACCTCAGATATCATCTCTTGGGAGCTGTTGATCTTGTCTTTTGAGACAAAGTCTCTCACTGGAACCTGGGTCTCACCAATTAGGTTAGGCTTGCTGGCCAGCAAGTCCCAGGGGTCACCTGTCTCTGCCTCCACAGCACTGGAATTTCAGGTATGCACCACTACATCTGTCTTTCTACGTGGGTACTGAGGACCAAACTCAGGTCCTTACACTTGCATGGCAAACACTTTATAGGATGAGCTTTCTCCCCAGCTCCTGACCACATTTTAGAATTCATTTCCCTTAGAATAATTTCTGAGAAGTAGAATTTTTAGATTAAAGGGCATGAACAAATATAACACTCTAAGGTTACATAATCACACCAATTTCTAAGACTATTGTGCCAATGTTTTGGAAATGTTCATTTCACATCATTCTTACCCAAACTGTGGTATTAGTAAGAGAGGAAAATAACTTGGCAAATTACACCAGTTAAACAATGGCATCTCTTCATTTAAAATTGCTATTAATTTTTTAATTTATTTTTAAATTTTATGTGTATGCGTGTATTGCCTGCATGTAGGTAAGTGCACCCATGTCGTGCAATGCCCACAGAAGACAGAAGAGGTCATCAGATCCCCTGGAACTGGAGTTACAGACAGTTGTTAGCTGCCATGCAGGTGCTGGGATTTGAACCTGGGTCTTCTGCAAGAACAACCAGTGTTCTTAACTGCTGAGCCATCTCTCCAGCCCCATAATTTTCTATTAAATTTAAGACTGCTTCTAATTGCCTGATTTTTGTGTGTTTAATAGCAATTTGGATTTGATCTTTTATGAACTCTCTTTTCAAGAACTTGACTCTAACTATAGAATTATTTCTTTGTAGAAGATGTGGCTGAGTTGTTATCACCTAAAGTTAGCTTTCACCAGGTCACCCTACCTCTGGCTTCTCCTAAGTGCCTTTCCCATGTTCTCAGGGCACCACACAGACTCTGCACTGTTTCAATTCCAGTGTTTACATCTCCTGTTAGACAGAATGTTCCTTATAGGTAGGAACCTTTTCTCAGTCCTCTTTGTCTCCACAGTACTTGACATAGGTAGAGTCAGGAAACACTGCGCCAACCTCCTCAGCAGCACTTCACTTGTGTCTGGCTACTACCTCCCAGTTCCCTCATTGGCTACTCCATTTCGGCTCAACCTTAAATAGTATTGTTCCTTAGGGTTCTATCACATTTGTCTTTTCTTCAAAATATCATGAGTTAAATTCATATCTACAACTTTAAGATTCCTTAAGTCATTGAAAGTCCAACATCTCTCCTAAGCCACATGCTAGATTTTCCAAATCACAGGGTTAACGACTCTGAATTGGGGCCTGGAGAGATGGCTCCGTGGTTAAAAGTGCTTGCTGCTCTTGCAGAGCACCTGAGTTCAGTTCTCAGTGTCCATGCCAGGAGGCTCACAACTGTCTATAACTCCAGCTCCAGGGGACCTGACACATCTGGCCTCCACAGGCAATTCTCATGTGTACATACCCCCTTATACACATAATTAAAAATAAATCTTTTTTCCTTTACAGCTTTAACATATTCAATAACAATTTCCAGAGCAAAGATATACCTCTTTCAAAAGTGACTATGAATTTTTAGGTTCACAGTTGAATTAATACAGTTATATAATATTGAACTGAGTATAAACCCTGTAAGACATAAAATTGAATGAGTTTTTAACCTTTAAAAAAGATCTCCATTTCATTTTAAAATATACTGTTTCCTATAGAAAGACTTATTTTTAATGCTACTAACACTTAGATGTTTGCACATGTGTCTTTAATCTCTATGTATCTGATTATTACTAGTCACAGTTGGTTACACTCAGATCCTTGGCACCTTTTTTAAGTGATAAAAAAAGAAAAGAAAACCCACTGGACCATTTTCTTCTCTCTATAATTGGCTTCCTCTCCCATATTCTGTAATTCAATGAATGACAAACACCATCTTCTGCACAAGTGAAGGAGCTGAAACCAGTAATGGATTCCCACCTTCTCTGATAACTATATGGTCATCAGGTACTGAAGATTTTTGCCTTCTCCTCTCCATTCCCAGATTGACCCAGTTAACCCCACTTGGGTGGCAAGGAACAGAGAAACCTTCTCAACTGGTCATCTCAAATCTAGGCTATTTACTGTCCATCAACCTTCCATATTACCATCATAGCACACTTGATAAAATACAAATCCTACCCTTTTTGTCACTCCTTAACTTAGCTGTGTGAAGACTGGACTCTTGGCTTCACAAGAATATCCAAGACCCTGTGTAGCTATTCCTCCAGATTCAAACAGTCCCTCCTGGAGAGAGGAAAGAGGCTCACCAGGCTCAAGAAAAACTCAAAGGAAACTTACCAGACTCAAAAAGCTCAGAAACTTATAAGACACTCAAGGCCCTTCCCCAAAGTTTCAACTAGCAAACAACTGCTGAGGGAGAGGAGACTTTTCTGTGGTGTAGCTGCCTGCAAGTTGCACAGGAGAATCTAGTAATGATTTCATGAATTGTTATTTATGCTGGGGTGTTATTTTTGGTGGTCCTGCTGCCCAGGTCACCCATACATATGACATCCATACATATAAATATATAAAACCCCTTATCCATACTCCTGTAAATAACTCCAGTAACTCATTGATTCTCCAGGCTGTACTTGGTGGAATTGTCCATGGTCTATAGTGGGGTGAACAGATAGAATCCCCAGGAGAAAGTAATGCAACAGCCCTTGAAGAATGGCTTTTTCTTCTTTGAATAATTATCTCTCATGAGCATCTCAGATTTTCTGCTTCTCCTCTAGGCTGGATTTATCGTACAACTGTCTTCCCAGATTGCCTCCATGCCTTTACCCTGTCCCCAGCCTGGAATGTCCCCATCTCTTCCGTTATTCATCCTTCAAGATTAATCCTGACAATCACAGCCTCCTTTTGGTCGTAGGTTAGTCTGCTGTCTGTGGCCTTCAATTAGCTCATGTGATGATAACGACTCCCGTGCAGGTATCTCCAGCCAGACATGTACACTGACCCAATGTATCCAATGGCAATTCACGACAAATTGAAACTTACTTCTCATTCCTTCACTGACAAATGCCTAAAAGCATCACTATCACTTCCATTTTCTAACATTTGCACCTTTCCCACGTTGTACGGTGCTTTCTGAAACCACTTCACTGAAGCTCTGTGACAGGTTACCAGAACCCTCCAAGCATCAACTCCAACAAAGGCTGTCCGGTCTCCATTTATTTGTTCTCTTCCTCCCTGACTCTGAGTAAACCATGTCCTCCCTGGGCTTCCCAGACACCAATCTGGACTCTCTGACTCTGACATCCCTTCCCAGTCTCTTGCTCAGGCTTCTTGTTCTCACCCGACCCTTTTAACAACAATGTCTGGTTCCTTACTTTGCACCTTTTCCCAGGTGTTCTCATTCACTCCTATGACCTCAGCTGCTACCGATGTGCTGAGATCCCTATTCCAGTGTCATCTTCAGACCTTAACGTCTGCTTCCTCACCTGCCTCCAGGACCGTTTCCTTTCACTGTATTCAGCTTTCAGTGTAGCACTTCTCTCTTCCCAGTCACCCAGGCAGGAATCTGGAAGCCTCAGCCTCCTCCCACAGGTCACCCTGTCCTGTGGATTTTACTTTCTGAGCATCTCTTGGATATCTCACTCTTCCTTCTTCCCTGCTGTGTGGGACTTGCTTTAGTACCTCATCCTCTCTTACCAGGTGACACAGATACCACCTAAATGTTGTCCCCTCCATGAGTCTCCAACTTCCCAGTCCACCCTGCAGCATGGCTGGCTTGAAGACTTTTTCTACAATGCAAAAGTGATTGTGCATCATTGTCTGCTGAAAGCAATGGCCTCCTCAAACCCACGGGTGTAAAATCATGCCTGCCTCTCCCAAAAATGCCACTCAGCACTCCCGCTGTGTCCTCTGCGCTCCCTAGAGCACTGGAGTGTTTCCCCAGCATGCACTTCTTCTTGCTGCTTTCTGGGCCTGGAAAGATCTCCCTTTGTCAAAACTGATATCCTTCCATATAAACCTTTGCTAATTCTGCCATGTCTTCATGGTACCCTGGACAGACTTCTTGCCCAGCACTGTAGCTATTGACTAATCTATGAATGTTGTATAGGACTGTCCTTTGACAGAGCAGACACCATCTTCCCGAGCTCAGCTGTGCCCACTTGCCAAAGACCATCACAGCTGGGGTTATTGACTGTTCATGCCCCTGCATGGAAAGGAGGGGTAGAGACAGTCAGGGGACCCTCACCTGAGAGTCCAGCCATACCTCCCGACCAACCTGCGATGAGTAATTCATCTCTAATTGTAAGTGGCCTAAGGGAGGGACTAGGGTGCATAGACTGGGGAAGATTAGGGAAGGGCCCCTCTACCATTTTGTGTGACATTGTCCATACTTAGGTGAAGACTTTCCAGTGCAGCCTTCAGGTGGGGAGCACTCACACTCCTATAACTAAACTCTCACTCACTCCTCTGTAAGTAAGCCCAATAAACTCATTGGTTTCCCAGAGTGCATCTTGGTGGACTAATACCTTGGTTTATTGTTGGGATCAATGGAGTAGGACACTGGAGGTGGTGGACAAGGAGGAGGTGGTGAACACTGTTTACATTCCTGTCTCCAGAAGGAATTTTAGCAACAATGGAGGTATGGAGGGCAAGGACCATGTCTTTTTCTCTTCTGCTGGCAGAATATCTGACACAGCCCTTAAACTCACCAGTGCTATGACTCCCCTGGAAAGATGTGGGGCACACAAGCCTCTGGCCTTGGTGAGCTCAATTAATACCATAAGCATGTGGCATCAACACAGGCAAATGAGCCTCCCAGCATTTCCTGGGGGTACAAGAAGACTGTGACTTAGCACAACTGCTTATTTTACATGGCATGAACTGAGGCTGGCCCAGGATCCACTGTGGACCACCTCCTAGAGCCCTGGGAAGGTAGGACCTGAACCTCCCTGCCTCCACCTAAACAGTAAAACCATCTCATGCTGGTGAGGGGGTGACCCCTGGAGGGGGGTGATCCCTGGAAGAAGCAGCTTACCTTGTGGCCTAGAAGCTCCTTTGGGCATGTGGGTTGGACCTGTTCAGAACTTTCTTTTCCACAGCACTGAAACTAGAGAGTGAGAAGAGACGTTAGGGCATGGGAGGCAGAAGCATTGGCTCCAAGTCTGGGCATCACAGCTAACTGGCAGTGCCAAGGCAGCAACACAGTTCTGAGGTCCAAACTGCTATTTCTGGAAAATGAATGAAGAAAGAATCACAAAACCACGCTACCAAACCAAGAGCATGATTTCCCTAAAGCTGCCTAAGTTTTATGATAGGAAGTGACTCAAGGCAACCCAAACAAGGCTACTTGACAGTGTCTACATAAAGTGCTACTTTAGAGACAGGAGTGGGGCCTCAATCAAATGCTTTCCTTCGGACTGGAAGTCTGAAAACCTGCTGAGACACTAAAGCTTTATGAGATGTGAGAAGAGCTCCTAAGTGTGGACTATCTGAGGAAGAAGAGAAGTAGCCACAGAAAACCCCAGTGCCAGAATAGCAGGCAGGAGGACTAGCTGGCAAACAGGTGCTCTGCCTCAGGGCTGGCCGCTTAAGACAAAGGAATCTGTGTGCTGCTTGCTGTCTGGGGAACTTCCAAGACTCTCATCATAAAGAACCAGGTACATAGAAACACCTGGCCCAGAAGGTCATAGCTGCTTCTCCAAATCACACTCTTCAAGAAAACAGAACAATGCTGGCCTGGCTTTATAAGCCTTCCTTGATTAACTATGTAGCTCTAAGCCCTCCACTGACAGCACATGCCCATGGAGCATTCCAGAAGGGACTATAGTTGTTTCCTGCAACTCTTCATTTTACAAATGAATGAGCTGAGTGGGTATGGCAGAGGCCACCAAGCTTGCTCAAAGTCACAACACTGCTGGGAGGTGAGGCTGCAGTCAGGAATTAGCCTTGCTGGCTTGAAGGCCGGTGCTTGCTCCTCTCACACCACAGTGTCACTTCTGACATGTGTTTGGGTGGTTTTCTCAGTGTTCTTCCTCATGTTCTTTGGTCTCTTTTGGGCACACGCCCTGACTTCCTTTTATGAACTCTGTGGTAGACTTCATTCTAGGTGAGGGTTCTACATAGAACACAAACTATGGCTCTCAGCAGAGCAAAAAATGAGGCTGCTGCCGCCCTTTATTGCGTTCGTTTTATTTTTAATTTAGGTGATTGAAGAGAACCTGGCTCACATGATTGTTAGAAGATGTGATGTCAGGGAAGAAGTAAAGTTACTCACTGCTGAGTGGAAGGTGACAAGAGTCCCATTTCCCTGTCCCCTGTCTTTAAGGTAATCACTGTACGCCTCTTCATACATGGTCTGTACATGTCGTATAGCCTGAAAAAAAAAATACCAGAAATACAGAAGGCACAGTGAACGCACAGTTTCAAACATTTTCTTTTTAGCAAGGAAAATCCCCTCCTCCATGACATTCAAGAATACTGCTTTTCCACACAACTTGTCTGCATTTTAAGATGATTCTGTACATAAGTAGATCACGGATTCTAGAGTTCCTAAGACACTTTTGAGGACAGAAGGATAAATAGTCTAAGAATGGTTTTCCTTGATTAGAGCAATCTCTTGGAGGTTTCTAAACTGTCAGGCTTCATTATCAACTGGACCCCAATTCCTGGGCCCCATCCACGAGCTCCTGGTGAGCTGTTGGGACAGAATCTGTAAAAGCATGGGACCCTGCCAGCTAAAAGGACTTAAGGTGCTCTCTGCCAAGGAAGGCTTTTTGCATTCAAATATCACATAGAGCTTCAAGAATATTTTCTCTAGTACAAAGACATATGACCCTCAAATCCACAGACATTTCAAAGGTCTTAGGTTTCATCTCTATAATGAGTGAAACTGATGTTAACCTATGAATACAACTAGACACATTAGGATAATTTCAGAGGAGAGACATTTACTCGTTTTTCATGTTTACTGTGTCTGTAAACACAGTATTGACAGCACATGAATGAACTGGAAATACAGTCCTCTTAAAGACTCACGTTTCCTTCTTTTCCATTTCCTTCTTCCTTGTCTCACAGTGTGTTTACTCTTCTAAAAGGTGGCATCCCCTGTGGGCTCTTAATAACCTGTCTAGACACTAGGTGTTGCCACTTTCATGCAGTAGGTGAAGTTTAACTTTTCACATCTGTGTGGCTCCTGTCCAGGCCAAGCCTTCAGGACAAGTGACAGTCGGAGGGATGAGAAAACAGGTTCTTCCCAATCCTTTGTTCTTGTGTTTTTTTTCAAAATTTTTATTTACTTACTTATTTTTATATTATGTGTATGAGAGTTACGCCTGAGTGAGTGCAAGAGCACCCATGTCATGCAGTGCCTGTGGAGGACAGAGAGGCTGTCGGATCCCCTGAAACTGGAGTTACAGACAGTTGTTAGCTGCCATGTGGGTGCTGGGATTCGAACCTGGGTCTTCTGCAAGAACAGCCAGTGCTCTTAACTGATGAGCCATCTCTCCATCCCCTTGTTTGTAAGATAATACCTGCTTCATTTCTAACTAGAGATCATATTAAACTAGATATCCTTCAAAAATCACAGACCAGTTTATAAATCTAATAGAAGCTCTACATTGTCATATATATACATTGTCTGTTCTGTACAATACTAGGTTAAAGTTCTACTTAAACTATAATTTGGAGGGTGATTCTGTTTCTTAATAACATTTTCAGGATGACTATTCTATATCCTTTGCCATAAAGAAAACTTAACTACCACAAGAAAACACTATGAGCAAATTACTTACTACATCCTTGCCTATAAAAGCAAATACTCCGGTGGTTACTTCAGCAGCAAATATCACCAGTAGGCAGGTAAAAAACTGTTGAGAGAAAACACTAATTTCATTAATTTAATACCTTTCCAATTTATTTAGCCTCTTTGAATCTAGTTCCATTGGCAAGGCACTAGGCATGCTATAAGTTTTCTGGAATAGGAAGGATTTACCCCTTCATCTCCTCAGCAACAGCCGAGGCACTTTTGTGTGGTTTGTTTGTTTGCTCTTTCATTCACTAATTGTTTATTGAGCATCTGTTCTGTGCCAGGCACTGTCCTTTGGGCTGGTTATCCAATAGTGAGCAAGAGTCCAATGTCTCTGCTATCATAAATCTTATATTGGGCAAGGAAGATTATAAAAAATGAGTAAAGGATTTAGAAATGAATAAAGGAATTTTAGAAAGTCATATAATCTCATAGTACATGGCATTAATATGATCAATAAATACTGATGACCAAAGAAGTCTGTAGAGGAAACAGTCAGAGATAGAAAGTTGCCAGTGGGCCCTGGGCTTGGGGAAGTGGATGACATGGGCCTTGTGGTCCAGAATGTTTCTCTGAGAAGAGGGAGAGAGGAGTGTGTGTGTGTGTGTGTGTGTGTGTGTGTGTGTGTGTGTTCCTTCTGGATAGACTCCTGTCCAGGTCTTTGCTCTGGTCAAACTCAGCTCTGTGATAAACAAGACAGAGGTGTTCGGCTTTACTGGGTGAAGAAACAAGACTGATATTCACACAGCCCCAGATCAGAAGCAGCAAGCAGGGATGAAAAACCACAGACTGTGATGGTCACTGGGGATGACTGGGAGATGGCGATGGTGGCTGCCTCAGAACCCTGCTTCAGGCTCCCTGGGGAGAAATACAAAACTCCTTCTCTTCTGCCCCTCTCCTCCCTTAGGCTTTACAGCATTGGCTGGAGAGGAGGTAACAGAAAGTATTCGAATTTTTTTTTTTTTAAACAGAGGCTGCTGGTTAAAATAACTCACTAGAGGGATGTTTGGCTGTTATTGATCTTAACCAGAAATCGGTTCTGTGTGGATAATAGCACTTCCCTGGCTATGGAAGTCTTTCAGCTGCCTCCTCCACAGTGAAATATTTTTTAAAGAACAATCACAATCACCCTGTACAATTCTGAGGCACTTTTCCTCCCCAAACATCTTTACACTGATGACGTCATTGTTTTCACATTTCCATATGGGACAGAGACAAAGATAATATTATTCTCATGCAGGAGATGGAGAAACCAGAGATCAGGGAGAGGGGGTCAGTGCCAAAGCTTCAAGGTCTAGAGGAGCTAGCACTGTGAACCAGTCCTCCCGAATGACTCCCTCCAGGCCAGTATGCCCACCCCCTGAACCCGACTTACTGATCCGAGAACACACTGTGACTCCCGCATGGCTCCACAGCACCCGAAGAACCCCACGGCCATCATCAGGGCCCCGGCTCCAACCAGTACATAGAGCCCTGCAGATGAGAGACCTTTCAGAGCCCAACCAAGCATGGCCAACCAAGGACTCCATAGCTAGTCCAGGAGACAACAGCCTTGCCTCCCACACAGCTGGACTCTGGCTCTGAGCACTGCAGACATTCTGCTGTCAGTAATGTAATGGTGACACTTGCTGTGTGTGTGTGTTCCTTCTGGACAGACTCCTGTCCAGGTCTTTGCTCTGGTCAAACTCAGCTCTGTGAGAAACAAGACAGAGGTGACTGGCTAATCACTTCATACACATGGACTCACTCAGCCTGCACAGCCCTACCTATAAGGTAGGTGCTACTATTATCACTAATGAATACATTAGGAAACTGAATCTGAAGGAATCCAAGCAACAGCCAGAGAGAGGCAGAAACCACCTCTGCCCATCCCTCAGAACTGTTGCAATCATTGGTCACCACATGTTGTCTAATGCCCGCGCACCACATCTCGGATATCTACACCTCTATGAGGAGGAGCACCATCCCTGCACAAGGCCAATGGCACTGGGTCCGGGGTGATGAGGAGCAGAGCTAGGACACAAACCCAAGCCTTCTCCTGAGCCCCTGGGGACTCTTGTCCTCTGGACTTAGTGGGTGTCTCCATCATTGAGAGGCCTGGGCCATGTGTTTGAAAAGGAAGAGTAGCTGGCATGTTACAGGAAGAAGGTGAAACAGAGTGGGGCTTTGGACTAAGGATACGAGCCTAGGGCACAGCAACAAGGCATCAGTTTTGGATGAATTTTCTCCTTTAGAGAGCAACACAGTAGATACTGTACACACAGGAGACTGTGTTACAAGAAAACAGCCAATGATGACAGGAGATAAGGAATAGACACCCACAACAGTAATAGCATCCTGTTCTAGCCAACAGAGCTAACGGTCCCTCTGACAATCGTAATACATTAGCTACATGTGTGATAGGCTTGCTTTGCCAGGCTCTGTTGCAAGTACCTAGTGTATGTTTTAGAGTAGCCTTTATGCAGCCATGAAGTCTTGAGGTACATTCCTACCATTCTTAGAACTGGGCCCAAGAAGGTCAAGTGATTAGCTCAAGATCACAGAGTTGTCCTGGTGAAGCCATCCTGTAAAGCTAGCAACAGCTGCGGTTTTACTTTTGGTGGAGACTTCACCTCTAAGTCAAGCCCCAAAAGAGTTTCCTCACAGAGAAAAAGGACCAAAGGCAATGGGCTGGTTCTACTTGGCCAAACCTTCCTGACTTCCTTCTCTGATCCTGAGATAAGACAGAACACAATGCTAGGGCTGGCACTTGACTCATTAGGAGTCAGGCTAATAGTCTCTATTTTCTCTTTTGCATTTTAGTCAGATGAGTCACCTGGAAACCATTCCCATTCACCGGAAGTGGGGGACTGGGGTCCCACCCCTGTGGGGAACCCCTGAGTGTGGCATTCAGGCACTTCCTGGGGCTCCTCTGGGCTGCTCACAGCGGTTTGTGGGCAGGTCTATCTTCGAACAGACCTAGATGGGGCTGCAGGCTAGCTGCCCTGCTTCCTGTGCCGCCCAGCCCAGGGTCCTTTTGGGGGAAAGAGGAGGGGTTGGCTTTGCAGTCCCAGGGACCCACACATTTCCTGCTGTTCTAGCCCTATCACTTCCTCCTGCTCCTCTGTTTCTAAGAGGATCATTTCATGGAGAGTTGATATGGTTAAAAGAGAATTGGTACCATATTAAAAATACTATTTGTTGGCTCCACTGCCTAAACACCTAACTGTTTTAATGTCTCCACTTTTCAAAGCTCTTTCATTTCCATCATCTCCTTGGCTCCTCAAAGCAACCTGATTAGATAAAGAGACTATCCCTGCTGTTTTACAGGCAATCAGAGGCAAGATGACTGCAGGCCTAGAAATCCCGATTTCCACCCTGTACTCCTCATGAAACAGAACCTGAATAAGAGGCAGCAGCAGCAACATCTTGTTCAGCTTCATCCCAGAATGCCTCAGGGGCATGCCATCTGACGGACATCCGCGTCTTCCAGTGGTACAGTGTGCAAATGCTGTTGGAGTCACAACAAGTACAGCCCCTTAAATGCTCACCTCTCCCACATTCCAGCCACCTGGCAATCACTATGGTCTGACTAGCCCTGCTCTTGTGTGCCTTATACATTTGGGGCTTCTACAAACCTTATTTCACCCTATCTAGAATAGACAACACAAGGCATAATTCTCAGTCAGTGTTCACTGGATAAAGGGAGGAAACTAGACTCAAAGTTCCAGACTGGCTAACTTATCGCTCTAAGCATCTGTGCTTAGAGATACATGCTCAGATTCTATGCTGTGAACATGCACCAAACCAGCAAAGAGCTGTGCTCCCCAAGGTCAGCCAGATGGAATAGGGGCTTCACCCTGAGATCTGGAACACAGGAAAGAAGGGTGTTGCTGAGGAGTCTGGGGCCTACTGTGTAGAGAGGCCCAGAGAACTGAGGATATACTGTCTCCCCAGTAGGCACAGTCAACTCTGTCTAGCAACAGTCCTTGCATTTCTGAAACAATGGTTTATCCTAGAAAATGTGCTCACTTGAATAATATTCTACGCTTGGGTTCTCAGAATTCCAGTAGCTTATGCACAAAGACCCTAAGTATCCTAGCAGCTTCTGTTTCTGAGGCCACTCCCTAGCAAACTTCTGTTTGATGCTACTATAGTTCCAGCTTCCAAATTAGACTGTGGAGCTGGAGAGAACCACAGGAAGCTGCAAATTCCTTGGGCCTACTGAATCCTGTTCCAAATCTGGCTGTAAGACCTGGTATACCCCAAGATCATGTGTGGCTTCCAAGGATACCTTATCTATTGTATGGTCTTCCCCTCCAAAAGAGTTCCTGGATGTGGATGAATAAATAAACTTGTAGCCACATTTTAATTCCAAGATGGCTGCAGTAGAGGTCTCTTTCCCCACAGCAGTACGTGGGACAGATATGTGACCTACTTAACAAATGACTCATGTTCTCTAAGTCCTATTTTCCTTGATTTGAAAAAAGAAAACTCTTTGAATTTGCATTTTTATCATTAATGAGTGGCTGGGCTTTGTGATGCCACTGGTAGCTACCAACAACAGCCTGTCCCAGGGCTCCTTCTTCCCTGACAATCCCATCTCTCCTTTCTTAGATCTCAAGTCTTCTAGTAAATTAAGTAGCATCATTTCAGTTAGCAAATAAATGGAAGAATGTATTAAAGGCCAGTTGGCATAAGCTCATCTAAAAATATCTCCCCTTGGTTGGGGATGGATATATTGGCACGCTCACCAACTCTGGTGATTTTGGCAGCAGATGGTCTTATGTAACCTGCTAATGATCATTTTTCATCTACAAATTTTTTGTTTCTGCAGAAAGGGTCTCCTTCCCAGCTTTCTCCAAATACTCATAATTACAGTCATCATTCAATATCCATGGGAATCGGTCCCAGGACCCCTAACATATCCAAATCAGTGGATGCACAAGCCCCTCATATGAAACGGCAACATGTCTAGATATAACCAACATATATCCCTCAGTACACTTTAAATCATCCCTAGATTACTCACAATATCTAACATAATGCAAATGGTCTATAGTTGTCAGACTTATTTAGGGAATAATGACAAAAATATCTGTACACGTTCAATATAATGTTTAAGTTCAATACAGTTGCTTAAATTTGTAGATGCTGAACCAATGCATGTAAACCCACCAGTTCTAAAGGTCAGCTCTATTTAAGTGTCTAGAATGTTATATGTGATGCTCTTTAAATAGCAGCAGCAGCTATTCATTAGCCAGAGTATTCTAGGTATTTCATATATCTCATTCAACATCACTGGTAGAAAGTACCACTTCCTGACAGTTTAGCCTGCTCGGGGTAGTACCTGTACTATACACTTGACACACATGATCTCAAGAACCTGCTGGCTAAGAAGGTCGATGGTATCAACTAGTCTCTAACCAAGATTCAGCAGTACCCAAACCGCTCTTCTATCTCCTTTTCCTGTCTTCCCCCATCAGCATCTCCTCAGTACATCACTAGCAAGGGCTGGTATTCCCTCTTGGCTCTCTGCACAGCTGGCATTGCACTTACACATGTTCAGAGTTCACGGCTGAAGAATCAGTGATATGAAAATGAAGGCTGTACAGTTAGTAAGGGGTAAAGCTTGGATGGAGCCAAAGCACACACCCTGAAATCCCGTGCTACATTTTCAGTAGAAACTCAGAAGAATGGTGGCTTTCTTAGCTAGAAATCTGCTCACTCACACGTGGTAAGAGAGTTTTCCTTGAGAAAAGTTCCTAAGATGTCTAAAATTGCTGACTGTTGAGTTTGTCCTCTGAAAGAACAGGGCTGGGATCCAAAATTTAGACCTGCCTAGATTGGCTGTCGATAAGTCTTCTTCTCCTTCAGAGTTGCCATCTGCAATATGGGAATGATTACTCTAACTTCTTGTAGAAATGCTTCGGAGAAACTGTTCAGACATGGTAAGCTATAGCCCCTCTCTGTTATCCAACTCCCATGGAGTCAGGTAACTGAAAACTAAGAAGTTAAGAAGTATTACCAGAGTGAGTCAGAGTGTTTAAAAAGGCAAGCCAGCTCCTGAATGTTCAGCAACAGAATACTTTCCTTGCATACAACCTCTAGCTACAGTCAAAGCCAGGCTCTGGGACTCTGAATTCAACAGAGAGAGACAGCTGCAGCCAGGCTGTGACTCTGGGGAGCCAAGTGGCTCTTGTTTGTGTGGGCATCCTCCAATGGAGAAACCTGCTCATATCCTCTGCTAACAGACATGAGCTCATGCCCTCCAGCTCATGCTGCAGCTCCACAGGGCAGAGGTGACTGCTTCCCACTCTGAGATCCTAGAAGGAAGACCCTGGGGCATCTGCACATCCAAAATGCAGGGAGGGACTGTCACAGGAAATCAGATGGGCAGGTTGCTAAAATTTGGAAGAAGGAAGGGCTTTTCCCAAGATTTTTTTGAAGGAGACCAGAGTGGAGAAAGTCTAGGAAACCTCAAATAACCCAAGTCCTTTTATTGCCAGATCTACAGTTGCAAGCCTCTCCCTCCCTTACCTTAGCAACCAAGGGATAGCAAGACCCTGGTTCAGCCTCCAGGCCTTGGCCTGGGCCCAGGGGGACAGCAGCGGAGGCAGCAGGCTACCTACCTACCGGTCTGACTACTCTCTTTCCCTGTCCTCATTTCCCACAGCTGTGCCTTCCTGCTTTGGCTAGTGGTCTGGCTTGGAGTTCAGGTACAGAGCTGTACCACAGAGAGAAACTCCATTGCCAAAGAGGGAGAACCAGAGATGCAGAAATGAAAGTGTTCCTGCAAAGACAGGGCAATTCCCCCTACCCAGGAGCAGGGGCACTACAATGTGCCTTACTGGGGTTTTTCTCACTTTAGGCTGGGTGGAACCTCATCTTCCAGTTCCCCTTCCCTTCTCCGTGATCCTCTTCCTCATCTTCCCAAGTAGCTGGGACTATAGGCAGGTACCTCTGTAGCTGGCTGTGGCTTCACTTCTTTAAGAACCACTTGAATGTGTTAAGCCTGTTTAGGACAGTCTTTAAACAAAGGGATGATGGATATGAGATGATGGTTTTGAAACCTATTCTAGAAAAAAAAAATACACAGATCAGTTGGGCATAGTGGCCTGCACCTGTAATCTCAGCAGTTTAGAGGTAGAGGCAGAAGAACCAGGAGTTCAAGGTCATCCTCAGCTACATGTTGAGTTCCAGGCCAGGCTGGGCTATATGACACCCTGCCTCAAAAAGCCAAAAAGCCAAACCAAACAAACATCTCCTACCCCGAGAACAGATCAGTGAGGTAAGAGGCCTCCCCTGCAGCAGAAGGGAGCGGGTGGTCCTGTGAGGCTAAAGATGGATGTTGTCCCCAGAGCAGCTCTCTCTGTGTTGTTTGAAATGAAATGCAGGTAGCAATTTCACATATACAGATTGGGTTCAACCTAAAAATGTCTCATGGTGATTTGTTAATTCAGAAAAATTGAAAAAATTTCCGCAGGTGAAAGTGAACTCCCTCTTATGTTGGTATTTAGCTACTGTGACCAAAAAAAAAAGAATTGGGTGTTTACCAATCCAAAGGCTTCCTGTTGAGAAGGAAGGTGACCCACAGGGATCTACACAAACATCCCTGGCTTGTTTCCTCAGCCTCAGCCAAGCTCAAGCAGGACACAAACAGCTCCAGACACAAGGCATGAGTTTTCATGTCATATTTGTATGGATATTTCTGTCAGGACTCTTTCTCTGATGGCAGATCACAGAAACCTGCTCAAGCCGATGTGAGTGTAACAGGTATTTGGTGAGTCACATGACTAAAAGGCCAAGGCTCATTTTAGGCTCTCAAATAATCTGGCTAGAATCCAGCCTGTGCCATCATGGCTCAGCTTCTTTTGGGAACATGCTTAGGCAGGCTTCTTCCCCACCATGATAAAATGGCTACTAGCAGCCTAACTCCAGTAGAAGAACATGCTAATTCAATTCCAACAATCCATGTGTAGTCCCAGCCTAAATTTAGTGCCTATCTCAAACCACTCATGCAGATTTGTTAGCATAAGCTTCATACCCACCACAGAGCTTGAAGTGCGTTAGTGCTCTCAAGCCAAGTGGATTGAAAATGAGTGTGTTTTGGTTACCTAACAGAATAAAAGAAGTGCAATGACAGGCCACTAAATTCTTCCATTGCTGGCGCTGTGGGACATGGATTTGGGTTTACCCACCCTTACTTCCTCAGCCACATCTTCGCTATGTCAGCTCACAGTGACTTCGCTATGTCAGCTCACAGTGACTTCGCTATGTCAGCTCACAGCTCATGGGTGGTCAGTGCTCAAAAGCTGGGGAACTGGGTTCTTATAGAAACTTAGCACCAGGCACAAGAAGAAAACTAAGGGTCAAGAATTAGAGAGCCAGACATAGTATTTCTCCTCTGGGCCAGGGCTGGCTTAGGCATAGATGTATAATACAGTTTTTTTCCCCCCTCTGGCCAATAGGCTACAAGAGGAAAAATAGGTTTGTTGGGAGACTTCTGAAAAACAGTATGTGAAGTAAACCTTCCTTTTATTTTCCCTTTGGATGCTGCAATGTGAGGCCAAAATCCAGGAGCCACCATAGCTATTTCAGAATTACTAGGGGAGAGAGAGATCTGAGGATGTGCTGAGGAGGGCAGAGCAGAGAGAAGAACCAGTTCCTTGAAGACTGTTGAGCTCTGAACTCATTCTGGAAACTCCCGATCTTTAGACTTCTCTTACCACATTTCATCAATTTTGAGAGTTTAAAAAATATGGATATATGTTGTCTGAAATTAGGATGTGTCTTTTATGATATGTCGCAATTAAATTGACAGTGTTTTCCTTTTCTTAATAGAATCTAAAATAATTGGGTGTTTACCAAGTGCTGCACCTAATAGTTCATGAAATGTCCTTATCGCTATCCATGTCCTGTAAGCTCTTTCTTTCTTTCTTTCTTTCTTTCTTTCTTTCTTTCTTTCTTTCTTTCTTTTTCTTTCTTTCTTTCTTTCTTTCTTTTTCTTCCTTCCTTTCTCTCTCTCTGTCTCTGTCTCTGTCTCTGTCTCTGTCTCTCTCTCTCCCCCTCCCTCCCCCCTCCCTTTCTTTCATTTTCCTTCCTTCTTTCCTTTTCTTTCTGACGAAACTCCATACTGATTTCT